CAAGTGCATACAAAGATCCAGTAGGGCTAAACTCGTCTATCTACGAACGCGAAAGAAGAAGAATAGAGTCGTCGTATCATCTGCACAGGTTCGTATCAAGCCAGTGGTGGGGATAGAAATCATACCGTGGTCGAAGCTCAAGATCGCGTGGAAATTGACGGGGGACAAGACCATGAACAGTCAGCGATGTCCCTTTCGGAATATGAAGGGACATTTGAAGACGACGGTGATGTCGACTTCGGTGCTCAGACTGCTGCTTCTATTGTAGCCGACGCGTTCGCAGAATTAAGCTTGCATGCTGATATCGCTTCTCTAGAAGAGGTTAGAGATTGTGATGATGAAAGCAGCAATAGCAGTAAAGATGGCACACAGCAATAGCTATAGTGCCACATGCATGACCATTTACAAACTTAGCGTTCAACAACATGAACTCGTTACCTATCATTTTGGCAAACCCGACGGCACTTGTTCTCGCCTGAGCTTGATACAAAATCTTCTCAGGTGATCCTGCTCATGGGACATTCATGTGCATAGCCACTGGATACTCACGCGTACCTACACAAGATGCTAGAACCACAAGAGACTCATGTATTACATCGCATCTCTTCTCACCGTATACACATCACCTTTCAGCACTTACAATTTCAACTTGCGAATTAAGTAGCCTTTTTTACGTCTGCAGCGTTTGTCTTGACCACCAATCCGATAGCAACCTCGTTATATCTTGTATCTCCTATAGAATGAAGACGCATAAGCACAAAACATCACAAAAGACGTTATACTTATATCAATATCCGTCCTACATAGTCGCACCCATGCTCCATACGTCTGAAGGTCTCAAAGGCGCTGTCGGAGATGCAGTAGCCAGGCCTATAGCGTCCAACACCGTTTGTAAAACATAGCAGTTTTTTTAAATGCATTAAGCTCTGTCCCTGAGGGAAATGTGATTAAAAATGCCGTGGTCACCTAAGGTCAGACGGTAGTAAATGACCGTTCCCTTAGCATAAGTGACCGTTGCGGTCACCTGACCGGTCAATCGACTATAAGTGATAACGGCATTTTTAATCACAATTCCCTCAGGGACAGAGCTTAATGCATTTAATAAAATCGCTATTTTTTACAAACGGTGTTGGACGCTATAGGCCTGGCTACTGCATCTCCGACAGCGCCTTTGAGACCTTCAGACGAATGGAGCATGGGTGCGACTATGTAGGACGGATATTGATATAAGTATAACGTCTTTTGTGATGTTTTGTGCTTATGCGTCTTCATTCTATAGGAGATACAAGATATAACGAGGTTGCTATCGGATTGGTGGTCAAGACAAACGCTGCAGACGTAAAAAAGGCTACTTAATTCGCAAGTTGAAATTGTAAGTGCTGAAAGGTGATGTGTATACGGTGAGAAGAGATGCGATGTAATACATGAGTCTCTTGTGGTTCTAGCATCTTGTGTAGGTACGCGTGAGTATCCAGTGGCTATGCACATGAATGTCCCATGAGCAGGATCACCTGAGAAGATTTTGTATCAAGCTCAGGCGAGAACAAGTGCCGTCGGGTTTGCCAAAATGATAGGTAACGAGTTCATGTTGTTGAACGCTAAGTTTGTAAATGGTCATGCATGTGGCACTATAGCTATTGCTGTGTGCCATCTTTACTGCTATTGCTGCTTTCATCATCACAATCTCTAACCTCTTCTAGAGAAGCGATATCAGCATGCAAGCTTAATTCTGCGAACGCGTCGGCTACAATAGAAGCAGCAGTCTGAGCACCGAAGTCGACATCACCGTCGTCTTCAAATGTCCCTTCATATTCCGAAAGGGACATCGCTGACTGTTCATGGTCTTGTCCCCCGTCAATTTCCACGCTATCTTGAGCTTCGACCACGGTATGATTTCTATCCCCACCACTGGCTTGATACGAACCTGTGCAGATGATACGACGACTCTATTCTTCTTCTTTCGCGTTCGTAGATAGACGAGTTTAGCCCTACTGGATCTTTGTATGCACTTGATGCTTTGCGTGTTCACGTAAGTATAGCCCAATTTAATTGCTCTCGATCCAAGTAAGCGATTTCTTCTCTTAGAGTGTATGAAGCCCAAGCTGCTCCAACATCGTTCAGCAGAGGCGGATGGAAATGGTATGGACAAGAGCTTCATGGCAATCTACAACAACAAAAAATAGGACTTGGTTATATCAAGCAATGAAATAAACAAACTTTCATTACCTATCTCAGCTCGGAATGTTTAATTGAGATGAATCTTGGCAACAAAAGCCACCTATCTGCTGCAGAAACTTCCACATCTGGAGAAGGGTTATCGATATGACGCCATATCTCAGGAACGGAAAATTCTTCACTTCGGCTCTGAAAACAATTTAACTGATTGTTGATTTTGTCGTAAAATCCTCGTTTCCGTTGAAAAGCTTTTTATAAGAAAGTCATGAGCACGCGTGCACTGGTTCGACGAGAAGCTCTGACCCATGTGTCTGGGATCCAACAAGTCTGCAAGAAAAACTTCGTCGCTATGCATAATTTTGAGACGACCATCGAGCCTGGCTTGTAGTGACTTTCCTTTAATCTTTCGGTGAATTATGAGAGTATATTGTTCTTCTGTCTCTAAGATTCCTTCCTTCCATGCAAAAAGACCATGAATGGTTCCAGTGCGGATGCTCTTGATAACAAATAAAACATCTCCTAACGTGGGTACGTTGCTTTGAAACTTATCGAGAATCTTGTTGAATTCGTCTAGGACTCGATGGACGAATGGCGAGTCATTCCATATCTCGTCAGACTTTAAGAGTGAAAGAATGGTCTTGTCCCACGGATAAGCATTCCTTTCCCGTACTTCTTCACTAGCGATAAACACAAGGTTATGGAAGGCTAGCCTTGCATTTGGGACAGCATCAACCATCCGAAAGTGTGAGCCCCATCTGGTGTCACCTTGAATCTTTAAGGTTTTTCCAAATTGAACGTTGCTTGCTGTCATGCACTTTTCAAGAATTGTCTTCGGGTGATGATGACCCAAAAGGTACTTGGTCACTTTCATACAATTGTCGACCACTGAGGTAAATGGGTCATACCGTAAAATGTCCTTGATAACAAGATGCAAGGTGTGCGCCAGACAAGGTAGGATAATCAAAGTTGGGTAATCAATTTCAATAATTCTCCATGCCTTTTTCATTGCGGAGGCGTTATCTGTTACGACAGCTGATACCCCACGGCTCGTAAAATCGGTGTAGTCGACCATCCCGCCCACGGCAATAATGCCTTCCTTTATGATATCGGCCATGTATTCTCCAGTATGAGAATTATCTCCAGTCTCCACAGCCTTATAGAATATCGGCGTTGGAGTGGCAATCATAATATTGAATAAAGGATCCTTATTGATGTTCGTCCAGCCGTCATAAGTTATAGTAAATGATCCTACAGGGCTACTTTTCAGGTAATGCTCCACAATCTGCTTGATCCTTGCACATTCATCATCCAAGAGGCTATCAGAGAGAGCACATCGAGATGGCATCTCATACGCCGGGCACATAGCTCTGTAAGATTCCTTCCATTCTTCAGAACAAAATGTCGACAACGGCAAACCGCTGGCTTGTACTGCTGAAGAAAAAAGACCATATAGCTTTTTCTTGTCACCCGAAGATAATAATTGTGCTCTGCCTCCCTGTACGCTTAGTGCCCTCTGTCCATGTGGCCTTTGTAAAATTCCAAGAGGGTTTTCAATTTCTCTGTCATCAGCTGAATCAAAGTCATCACCGCGCGGTCTTCTCGATAAGAATGGTTGTCCACCACTACCAACTCCACGATTACAAATAGTGCTGGTGTCGGATTCATCGACACAACATTCTGAAGCAGCTGACTCGTTGAGTAAGATTTCAGTAGCAGGAAGACGTGATTGAGCCTCTCTCTTTACCTCAGTAGAAATCTTATCGCAGGCTCTGGCGAGGTGCACAAGCATGCGATTGGTCTTTCCACCCTTGTAAACAATCCCGCAGAAGGTACAAGTGCCATTTCGAGAACCAGGTGACTCTGGTATGAATTATGTCCAGACCCATCCTCTTGAGCGAGTCATCAATCGGTTAAATGTGCGAGCCCTCATATGACAGTACAGTGCTCACCGTATTTAGTATCCGTTCAGAGTTATTGTCGCACCTCAATTAGTGTCCTGGACACTAATTCACGTGTGAATCAATTTCTCCATACAAAAATGTTGGTCGAATCCGAATTAAGTATGTCAAAATGGTGATTCTGAATGAAATACAACCAAAACAATTTCATTATCGCACTACTGCAGAGCAAATCATGCACAACCCATGCTCGTCCTTCACCTCTGACTACACCGTAGGTCGCTCGCATTTCGCAAACTCAACTACGTGCCCATAAAATTTGCGGAGGTACCCTCGGCTTAATATCCTCCAATTTGAGTTTTGTATTTATTTTGTACTTGATCCCCACTTCGATACACAATGGCGCAGACACTAGTTCTGAATTTGCTTCAAATAGTGTCATGGACACTAATTTTACCGCACACTAATTAGTGTCACACCATAATCAGTGTCATGGACACTATATCGTGGGCATGGACTCGAAGGGTACTACACATTAATTAGTGTCGCGGACACTAAATACGATGTCCACTGTAGCAATATTTTCGAACGAAGACTGAAAAGCACCACCAGAGGAATCAAGAAAATCATAAAAACCTCGACGAAAATAGATGAAAATTCTATCTGATGAGAAGTATAAATATGGTTTTTAGGGGTTAGAAAGTAAAACGGTTCTTTTATCTTAACATTTGTATGTCGGTCGCATTGGTCGCATTCGATTTTTATGCTTTGTTTATTAAAGGGTCACTTTCGGTCACTTAAGATAAGTGACCAGGTCAATGGACCGGTCAATTGATCTGGTCAATTGACATCGGTCGGTCACTCACATCCCTTATGGTACGTCACGGACGGCTCTCAAACACTGTCGTACCTCAACGCCGTTCCCCAATGTCGCCACTGGCCTCTCCTCGACCCAATACCTGCGCCCGAACGTCCGTCTCGCGCCAAAGTCTCGGCCGCCCAATACGTATCGAGCTGCTATCGCTATTCTCGCTCCTTCTTCTGCTGAGTTATGTCGGTATCTTCGTATCCCTTTGGTTCGACGCTGCGTTCGTAAGCGGTTACGTACGGCCATTTCTGCCAACTTTTGTCCCAAGTTTCGACGGCCACGTACCGTTCCTCAACGCTTCGGTACTTTTTGTAGCCATCTTCGTACCAGTCACATGGCTCCTGTCGAAGTTGCGCTTCACGAGGACGTCCACTGATTGTTCGTCCCGAGCAGATGTTGCGCTGGAACTATTACGAGTCGCCAATTGCGTTCTCCTGAGCAGTGCGCTCACTGTGTTCTTGACCGAATGTTTCAGCACGAGGGCTCTAGTGGCCTTTGGGACTTGCTGCTATGCCTCGTGCATGCTCGTGTACTCGTGGAGTTTAATACTGTGGAAATGGACTCGAGGCGAAGTGCACCGCAAAGGGGGCGTCCTGACTCTGCTTCCCCGCTGGCTGCAAAAGCTGTTGTTCCATACGTCCCTGTTCGAGTGGCTCACGGATTCCAGCTTGTCCGACGCTGTTGCCCCGTATCTCGTGTTTTTGCTGCCGTTGACACGAACGGAGCAGCTTCGGTTCATGGAGCTCCTGCCTCCAGAGTCACAGGCAATGATGACGAAGCCCGGCATGGTGTCGTTCTTGCCAGCTGCCCTGCAGCAAGTGCTACTGCCGAACGAAGACCGTGACAATACCCGTGGGGGCAGCAAAGAACGCGGGAGGAGCGACGGTACGCTCGAGACGGAACTGGCTGTGCTGGAAACGACCGAAACGTGTGAGCCCACGTTTGCGATGGAGATGTGTGACGTCTCGAGACGTGTGTCGGGATCCAGTGCGGGATTCGACTTTCACCGGCCGGATGTCGTTGTCCGTGTCCGTCCGCCGCCTTCGCCAGTGCAACTTTTATACGAGATGGTGGCATCCCGAATGCAAAACAAGTGCGAAGAGCTAGTAACGATGCCGAGCTCGAGGACGTTGAACCGCACGGCTGCAGTGTCGAGTGCACTGTTGGTGATGCAGCTATACGCGTCGCGAAAGAGTCGAAAGGTGTTTCTGACGTTTGTGCAGTTTGTAGCTGCGTCGGCATTGAGCTCGGTTGCTTGTTGTACGCTTTTCCTGCGCTTCGTCCAGCTCCTGGATCTACGATGGAATTTAGTCCACACGATGTCGCTCCTGCGTTATGCACGGCCATACTTGCTACGTAGCGCAAACAGTGGAACAGCGCAAATCGGTAGTCAGCCATCTCACGAAGGTTCTATGACGATTCGCGAAGCTGCTACTTCTGTTTCGGTAGTGGTTGCTGCTCTATACGTTCTTCGTAAACTACGGCGCTGATGTTAGAGCAGTTCCTGGACATCAGCGAAGTGGGGTCGATCTGCCACAATGGGTCCAAGCCTGGCTGTGGTATTGCTGCAGCCGACCATGCGACGTAGCGGGTGCTTTAGCTTGCAATGGTCAGCTCAATATGGCGCAGTTCGAGTGTAAGCATTGGGGTTGCTGTTGGTCAGATCACTTCATCTAACGTCTGGATAGCTGTTATGACATTGATTGGGTGTACGGGAAGACCGACATGAAGCGAATGCACGAGTCTGTTCAGTTCCAGCTTGCCTAGTGATGACCCACCGCTTTTGCTTCGTCATGAAAAGAACAACGTCGTCTTCTGGATGCAGTGTCATGAATGTGCCCTACGTCATGTCAGCTACGAGCGAACATCTCCCACAGTTTTCTGCAACCGGTCCGAAATGTCGTGCTTGGCACGTACGTGGGTTTTGGTCGGTGGTCGGGATAACAATCGAATGGACACGTCAAGTGCTGAACGACCACAACCGCTGGTGCAATCGCTGTCAAGAGCCAAGTCCATGACAGTCCATGCCGTCTGTGCTGGAAAAGTACCATTTTGTGACAAACTGTGGAGTTCGCGACGACGCCTGAGAAGAGAGCAGGCGATGAAGATGCAGTCGATTATGCATATGCGAAGGAGACGGCGCGGTTTGACGATACTGAGTTCATCCACGTCGCGACTTTTGATGGCCGGTGCCGCCAGGTGGTCTCTGTTGATTGAACGAACGTACAATTGCGTGTCAAGACCTGACAACGAGATCAAGTCGAAGACTGGCACCGGCTCCTCGATGAAGCCCGCAACCCCGACGCGAGGTGGGCGAGCTATAGTAGCAGCAGACGTGAGTGATCAGGTGCAAACATTGCCGTCGTGTTGTGTGAGCGAGTTGCGAGCTGTGCTGTGTGGATGCGGCGAAGTCGACTTTGAAGACGGGTGACGACTCTGCATCGTGGCGTCGGTGTGTGGTACCGAGGCCGACGACATTTACGTCGTGTTCAAGAAGATGTTGCTAGAGCTGCAGCTTGTACGACAAGGATGCAAAACATGTGACCACATGGTATATGCGCGTCGTCACCCCACTTAGATACAGTGCATCATTGCTGATGTGATTGCAGGCGTCTGTCTGAAAAGGTTTCAAGTGGGTCGTCTTTCAATCGATTGCTACACACCACACGGGTTTGCCGCGAACAAGTGCTTTCCAAAACACTACGATCGATGCGTGTCGGCGCATGTTGCGCGTTGGCACTTCGTTCGACCGACGACGCCGAAAAATAGTCACTCGAGTGACACATACTCACTCAGTCGCGTACAGGTGGCGAACACATTGGGAGCGGAAGTGAGAGGCAGTGAGGCACTGAACGCATTGTAGTATAAACGAGCTTTCATTAGGTTTGGTCTTATCAGAGCGTCCTACAAGAAGTGAAGCGTCAGTCAACGTGACACCTCCGCAGTCTGACAAGTCCTGACCCTTTGTACTCGACACGGAGATACGTACCCACAAGATGCACGTGGCATGGACAGATAGTAGAACGCAGCACCTCCACCGCTCCAGCCTCGACGCCGACGCCAATGTGACGGGCGTAGCAGCAGCAGCAGAGATGTTCTTTGTGGCGTGTTCAACGAACGTGGTGGACTGCGTCCAGAAGATTGTTACTCGCTCGGACGAACGAGAGGGCCCATCGAGCAGCTTCCGACCCTTTCCACTCGGCAGGCGATCCCTACTAGAATTTACTTTTGACCCACGCTTCAGCGTCAAACTTTGACCAATAATTAATTTGATCGGTGAGCTTCTTCTTTAGTGCTGACTCATTCGGCCGGTTGCCCAATTTTTTCAGCTTCTGTGACGCACTGGCAATATGGTTGTCCACCGCAACATCCACTCTCGCCACTATGTTATTTATTCGGAACATCTTGTTTGCCGCAGCGGTCTTGGCCTTGCTGGGCAAATTCTTCAGCGCTGGGTTTTTCAACACGTTTGTGAAACCGCTTAAGAACCCAGCGTTTCTCGCCTCGTCTTCCGCTTCCATCGGTGCCGAGTCGTCTTCCGCTCGAGCCCTTAACAACCGCTTTGTGTCTGCTCTGTGGCGAGCGCCGTCCGTCACGCGATTCACGAAAGACACGTCGGACTCGACAGCAGGTTGCGGGTCACCAGCCGTCGAAACTGCGGCGCTGGAAGCGAACACAGCAGTCAGAGCGACCGCCGCAATGTATGTCAGACGCATGTCTTGCAAGTGCCGCGTACGTGGAGAAAGTGGCGGTGGAGGAAGAGGAGGAGGAGGAAGAGGGGGGGGGAAGAGGTTGTTGGTCTGACCAAAGAATTGGAAACTGAGGTGCCAGGAGCAGCGCTCCTTGCGGCTCGGGCTCGTCCTATGTACTGATGCAGCAGCAGCAGCAGTAGTTCCTGTGGACAGCCGAAGCATAGATGGACGCGACGTCAACGACATCGTGCCCTAGTAGAGGTGGTGACAAGACGTTACTGCTGGCAAACCTGAAGAGCACTGTGTGCCCGTTCCCAGATGCCGAGACCTGCTGGGACTTACTCGCGGGGTACTGCCCCTACGTACGTACGGACCTGTGCTGGTCAAAACACTGGCAGACGAAGTTGCCGATCTCATGCAAACGCTACGGCCACGAAGGACAACACAGTAAGGAGCAGAGCCTACGAATTCTTGTGGCTCGATCGGACTGACCTCTCTCCGTTCACGTAGTTTGTGGACAAGGGATGAGCTGACTGCAGCATCGACCACTATCAAAATGATTGTGTGACTCGCACGCGTGTGAAAGACTGGATAGTCCAACGTCTGGTGTGGGGCGCAGACGACAGCGACGTCGAGACAGAGACAGAGGCGGACGCGTCTGTCCAAGCGTCGACAACCGCAGGATGTCTACTGTCATATCCCAAGATGGGATTTGACGTGGCCGGTGCTCGGTCGTCGTCGAGTCCAACAAATGCACGGCACCAACCGCCCAAGTGACGAAGTTGTGTCTGACTCGTTCGCATTGGCACAACAGCAGACGTGCTCCTTCTGTAGTGGGGTTCGTGGTCATCCCGTCGGGAACCGTCTGCTATGCTACAGCTCCTTGACGTCGTCCGTGTGCCTGTGTCTCCGGATTCCGTGACAGCCGCTCTCGTGCGCACGCGCATGCTCACCTCGCCGAGATGGTCGTGTTAAGGCGTCTCTTTGGCCTCGTATGGTACAGCTCGACAGCACAGTAGCGTTTGACACCGCGCACCATCCACTTCACTTTTCGTAGCCCTATACCAACTTAGTGGCCGTACTGCATGAATCGCCCGTAGCACGCGAGACGATTGGTATTTGTTGCCACGATGGTGTTGACTGGCAGGAACCCATTTACTACGCTGCATTTGCCGTTCAAGCCAACTGAAAAGCGCAGACGACACACGGCGACAGGTGACGACGAGCAGTAGTTGCGCAGAGATTTATTTAGTTATGTAAACATCGGTATGTGCGAATGACATATTGATATGCGTATTGGTTTATTTGCGTTGCACGGCAGTTGAGGTTGTACTCTTGGAAGCGCAAGTCGAAGGTGGCATTGTGGGTATGACCGACTCGGTCTGTTCCGCTCGTTTGCGCCACACAGCTTGAACCTGAACAGGCGCATGTAGAGAGAAAGCGTCAGGTGCAACGCGGGTCTTTGCTTCCGAAGATCGAAAGACAAAGGGTCACTGTACTATCGGAATCACTTGCCATTTTGCCGTCCGTGATCTCGAGCAGACACGGTAGGAAGGCGAGGTGCGCTTCGAGCAGCTTGGCCATCGACGTATTGAGGGGCTGGAGAGCGAGTTTTCAAGTAGTTACGCCAAAGTTAGGTGCATGAGTACATGGTATCGAATGTGTCAGTGGGTAGCATGGTCAGTGTCGAGGCGCCGACGTACCATGTTGCTGTACTTGTGGCCTGCAATCATTCCCATAGCATTGAGAAAACGCGCGTAGGTGAGACGGCGCTCACCCTTTTTCTTGCACTTGACGAAGATGAGGTCCACGTCGGTGTTGCTCAAGGTATTGCCGAGTAGGTGAGGACAGTCGCGGCAGAGCTTGACAAAGTTGGCGTTGTCTGGTGACCACAAGAGCGTACGTATGCCATAAAACCAGTCAGTAGGCAGAACTTCCTTCTTACCCCAGACGACGGACCACGATACACGACACACATGCACATATGGACCAGTGATACCCAGCGTTTTTTCACCAACACCTTTGGCTCCAGTCCTCCCAAAGCGGCAGTAGTAGTGGAAAACGGCTGTCAGAAGTGTATGGGGATCGTTCGGGTCTCCCAGGGCCGTCTCGGGTGCCGACATGGGTCTCTCAGTAAGAACAGCGGCTAATGACAAAGTTGAGGCCCTTGTACTGGACAACGAACTGGCACACGAGCCATTGCTCATGGGTCGGCGCATACAACGCGGCATTAGAGCTTTTACGAAGCTGACCGAAAGTCATGCAAGCCATAACGATGAGCACGTCACTTACTGCATTCGCTTCAGGCGACCCACGTCGTCATGCAAAGGAACACGCATGACGTTCGAGATAGCATCGTGCACCACCCGTTCGCTTGGACCACTCTCGATTCGTTTCTTGACGACACCCGTGTGCGACTTCAGATCCGCTCGACGCGCGTAGATATTCGATTTGCGATATGTGGATGTGGCTACTGACTCCAGCGGAAGTCTCGCCGTCCTCTGTGGTGCGCTGTCGGATGGAGACACTACCGTCTGCTCTTTGACACGAGGCTGCATCTCAACTTGGTACACCCCAAGCGCTTGTTCTGTGTGTTTGCTCACAGCTTTGCGCGGACGAATGCACTGAATGACTGGCCGTGACGTCAAGTACGACGCGTAGAAGTTGGATGATGTCCTGCGTCGAAAGGGTCGCAAACAGCTATAGCAGTGCCGCCAAGAGGTTTAGGAGTTTGAAACGGTGAGAGGCAAAACACAGCGTCGGATGTATGTGCAAAGCGCGACAATCGGCGGGCGACCTGCAAATGGAACGAATGACGGGAGGCGTTTCTCAGTGACGGATCGTCTTCCGGCGTGGTCTTGAGACAATCGCACACGAAATATCTCGTCGTTGCGAACTGCCAAGTTCGTCTTGTCGCATTGGCAAAGAAACGGACGAAGCGACGAACGTATCGTTGATGTTCCTTCGATATCGCACACCGGAACTATGCGACAGCGTTTGCGGCACATAAGTGACCTGGAAAAACGCACGACGCTGTGCTGTGACATAGAGAGACGCTGTGCAGTCGCATCCGTTTCGATCGAACACTTCTACTTGGCACCTCGACGCGCTCGAGACAAGGTGAAGAGGAACATTGTAATTGAGCAACGACTCGTTCGACTGGTACTCCAACTGCATCTCTGGCACGAACTTGCTACTGTATGCGACCGGTTCCGACAGTTATGTAGTTTCTAGACGATGTAGTACCTATGTAGCTAGCAAGTGACGCTCACAATCATGCTCGGACGCTGGAGAAACACTCGTCATTAGCGTAAGAAGAATCGCGTGGAAGCTGTCAGTTACGAGCTTGCGGCTGTATGTGGTTGATGCATGTTCGTGCCATTAGATGTCGCTACCACTACAAGAGTGACGTCTTGCTTCACGACACGTACGGCCTGTGTAGAATGGTGAGTCAGAGCATCGATGCATCTCGCTCTCAGTGACTCAACACGGATCATTGGTAACTTAGTCCAAGACCGAATGTGAGGACAATGTGCTCGACCTACTTCGGGGTACGATGACATGATGGACGATTGGTACGCTTGATGGTCATTTGGTGCTGACACTTACATGTTGTTGTCCCCTGGACACATGTAAAGAATACTTCGCCGGTATGTCAGCCATGCTATCGTAAGGAATAGCGTGGATACGGGCATGCATACTGACGATGCGCTCTGTTTCCTTTCCAGATGCAACAACTTTACTTATCAAATATAGGTTCAGGCCAATGACGATTGTACAACAAGTTACAAAATGACTGCACCACTCAGCGGAGAATGAGCGCCAGTTGGAAAAAAATTCGTGCAATAAGTATTTTAGGCGCAGCAAATTTACCAATGCAGTAATCTTGAGCAATGCAACTAGCACTTCCTTACTGTCCAATATTATTTGCAATATTGTGCTAACATACTGGCAAAAGTTGCCACCGACTACCAAGGACTGTGCGCCAGCGCTGGTTTTACACACCTGCAAGCGGTCATCATTATGTCGGCTTCACGACTAGATGAAAGGGTAACATTGATGTGGACAAATACTGCCCGCGTGTCAGTCATCTATTTACCCACTTATATAAGTTGTGGCGCAAAAAAGACTAATTCTACAGGTGTCGACAGCAAAAAGCAGCCACAAATCATACGGTAAGCTCACAATGCTATATCGACTGATAAAGAAGCGGATGTATTGTTGGAAGAAGCGTGTCAAGATCTATCAAGCAGCTCACACTACCATATGTTTTGCAGGGTCAAGAGGTACCTATTTTGATCCATGTGCAAAAGTGATACGCCGACAAGCGCTAGTTGCGCAAAAAGCAACTTCTTTTCCGATACGCATTTGCTTATTTGTGAAGCATGCGTAGCATTCAGACCTTTCGTTTAGCGTGGTATCTATGTTAGTTCTAAGGTTCTATCATGTATAACCAAAGTGAAGTGGTCTGCTACTGGATCCGGTCTGTGCCGAATCCAGCACCTGTACCGTAAGGTTGCTACTGCGCCAGTCTCGTTACGTGAAATCCATGTGAAACTGTTTGACCAATTGGTAGATCATGGCCAATATATCTGATACACTACATACGCAGTGGAAAATACCAAAAATGCCATTAACATGGGTCGCAACATCAACTGAGATCGTCTGGAATTACATGACGATAACGCGTATTATTTATATCCTCTTTGGTCCATACGCAATGTCAATTGTTCACTTCTTGCACAATGTAGACAAAAATAATACAAGCAAGGCGATTCTCCGTAGCGTTATATGAAGCATTGAACATTATAAAAAATGCTTACATTAACCTCAAATATCTATATAATTGCATTGTTTCGTTCTTCTTGCAAGTCAAAGCGAACAAAGTTGATGAACAGGTTATTATACATTGATCAATATGACAATGCTTGATGAAAAGTAGTGCATTGTGCTCGATACATTATGGTGCCGTCAAAACCTCCTTGCACATTGCTTGCGATATGGGCTCCATGGTCACGCATCATAATATTTGAACACGAAAGAAATGAGCGAATGCTTGCTACTACAAGCACGGTAAATTAGCCGTGTTGCAAGGATTTTGGATGTTTTTGTCAGGTTTAAGGACTCGCGAGATAAGTGTCGTGGATATAGAGTAGAAGATATCGTGTTTGTCAGGTTGAGGTTCGAGGTTCAAGTGCAAGTAAAAGTGCAAGACCAGTTACAGGCCATGTTCGACATCACCTGATTGGATGTTTTGTGACATTGGGATGGAAAATAGGAGAAGATTTGGGTCCCACGTTGGATCATCAGGTGTCAAGACATACGGGGCATAGGAGTTACGGACGCCACATGGAGATATCATAGGATGATAGGAATACCATACAGACACCATGTAACGGGGTTACACGTAGTCGACAATAGGTGTGGTAGACACAAGGGACGGGATCCCCTTTAAAGTAATATTAGAGCACAAGTATCATTGTTGAAGACTGATGTCTGCCAATCATTGATTACGAGATCTTTTGAGAGGTTTATTTAGGACATTAGCGAGTAGGTTAATTACTTTGTTCTACGGTGTTCTTTTAGGTTAAAAGAAGAAATAAAATTCAGTTACCATTTTGATCAACAAAAGACACGTGCTCCTTTGAGGCGTCTTGCGGTAGATAAGGAGGTAGCAACGCCTTGTTAAGGCATCTACTCCTTGTGCACTCTGTGCGTTTGATTCTTTGAATTGTTTGGTCCCCCTGGAACAGGGACCGTAAGCTCTCTGAGCTTGTTGACTCTTTAAGTCGGGTGCTTTGTACCAAACCTTAGCTCTCGGAGCTGTTGACTATTTGAGTCGGGTTCGTAGAACCAAAGTTGCTTATTATGCGTTAAGTCTTCCTCTGACTTAAGGAGCTGTGTAGCTCCGCTACACTTGGTAGCACTAGTAGTCAATCTACGCCTGAATCGGTGACGACTGATCTTCTGTGAGGATGGAGCAATCCACATCCCTCTCTGAGGCTCAAAAGGTCGATTTTGGTAAGCTGACCACGGCCGTAGGCTTAGAGTATGTGAAGTTTCTAGCTGCACAAGGTCCCGATGTGCTTAATGCACGAGTCGAGACCTTCATGCAGTATGAAAAGGCCCTGGTAGATCAGTTTCAAACCCAGGTAGCGTCGGTTATGCCAACACGCTAAGTGGCGATTCCAGATGAATAGGCTAAGCCTCGTCCCCTTATGGTGGACGCTAAACATTAATCCGGGAAGGAGGGAGAAAACCGCACCCTCTGTATCCGTGAAATTAAGATGACCATGAGCTCTGGCCTTATCTCACTGGAGTACTACCGGGTCTCGCTGACTTACTTCAAGCTCGATGGAAGAGCTAGAGATTGGGCTCTGACGTGTGGAACGTTGGTCGTCTTGGCGTTTCCCACATGGAATTCGCTCAAGTTAGACCTTTTGCGAGTTTACTCGCCGCCTAACCAGGCTTATCGCGTGCGCTCACGCTTCTTGTCTACCCTTCAGGGTAAGAATGAGTTAGCGATCTATGTCCAAGAGTTGAGAACTCTTATGGCTGATATGCAGTCTTACCCTCTCTCTGAGACTGTCCGTGTGACATGTCTTAATGGTAGGTCTTCTCAATGGCGTTGCCAGGACCGAGGTTTTTCGATCCCTCCTTCTACTTTTAAGGAGGCTGTTAGCATCGTTTAAAATACTGAGTACAACTTCAAGTCGACCAGACTTGGTTGGAATGGGTACAACCCAAGCTTTGCGAGGGCAACCTCTGCGAGCACGTCGGCTTACTCTAAGCCAAAACCAATGGATCTCAGCCATGCTGAAGATGAAGGTGAAGCGGAGCTTCATGTTGCAGAGCAACAACAGGAACTGAAACGCTGTTATATGTTCGGAAGCACTAAACTCTTGCGTCCCACTTGTTATTTGCGTAAGCATCAACCGACTCCTATGGGTCGAAACCCCAGTTCCAACAAGAAACCTGGTATGGCACGAGGAAACGTCGACACCCAGTTGGTGCGGGGCTCCCTACTGGGGTAGAACTGAGTTATGTTGCTTCTCTACGAGTTAGAGCGAAACAGGGATTAGCCCCACCGAGCTCTGTGCCCGCAAGCACAGAGCGTGGATAC